GTGGAATTGAACTTTCAGTGAAAATATTTTGCATGTTGCACATGGGTCTCATACATACAGAAGACCTTAGTTCCTGAGATAACATTTCTTGCTGAATACTTAGATCATGAAATGTAGAATCTACTCTATAAGAGCCAACTTCCAGGAATGCCTAGGTGGTTCAGTGGGTTAAAACGTCAGACTCTTGGTTTCGGCTCAGGTCATGATCTCAGGGTCTCAGGTCGAGCCCCGCGTTGGGCATCATGCTCAGTGGGGAGTCTGCTTGAGTTTTCTCTCTCCTTCTGCTCCTCCCCCATCCCTCTCTCTCTCAAAATAAATAAATAAATCTTTAAGACCTAACTGCCAGCATCTGGACATGTGGAGAGTCTAAACAAGCTTAAATAAAGCCACAAAGTGAATTTGTCATTCTCAGCTAATATTTTTTTAAGGAAGAAAATTGAGTTAGTGGTTCAATGCTAATATGAGTTTATTTTATTGATTTTGTGCTGGCAGTTGATTAATTACAAAGACAGGCATCATGCTTTTGTGTTCTTGTCCCTGACTTAAAGACCCACGTGTGACTTATATAAAAGCTGATGTCAGCAAGACCCTGTAAGTGGTATCATAATGATTATTATATTTACCACTTCTGTTGCCACCTAATGATGGAAATTTTATCTAAAAAACTCAGTTGCAAAATAATGCATTTGCCACCTAAGCTAAGGAGGACTTTTTTTTTTAAAGATTTATTTATTTATTCAGAGAGAGAGAGAGGCAGAGACACAGGGAGAGGAAGAAGCAGGCTCCACGCAGGAAGCCCGATGTGGGACTCGATCCCACGTCTCCAGGATCACACCCCAGGCTGCAGGCGGTGCTAAACCGCTGCGCCACCAGGGCTGCCCTAAGGAGGACTTTCTGTTGCAGTTATCCCCATGGAATTTTAAAAAGCAGATGTGAGTGTGAGTTTTATTTGGAAATTATTTCTTACACTCCATTCTTCTCCTTCTTTTCTTCTTTCTTCTTTTTCTCCTCTTCCCTTCCTTCTTCTTCCTGTCCTCCCTCTCTACCACATACTCAGTTGCCAGTTACAGTGGTGAATAGGAATCTTGTTGTCCATAGATTCAAAATATGATCCATACAGATACTCTCTCTTTTTTTTTCTTTCTCTTTAAAAGCTAGTGAAATATTCTAATGAATATCAGGCATTGATTAGGACAAAGGAGGTCTCTCCCATTTTAGGCTATCTGCAAGCCTTTGACATCAGGGCTTTAGGAAAAGCATGTTCTCTCAGGCAATTGAATTGCTTTGCCTTGAATTGAATTAGAACACTTGAATGCTAGTCTCTACTCTGCCATGAGCCATCTGTGTATAACCTTGGGCCATTTTGACTCTCTGTATTGGGTTCCTCATATTTAAGACGGGAGAGCCTTCTATTTCCCCAACTTTGTAACAAAGGTAGGGAGGGCTGTTGTGTCTCAGTATCCGAGGCCTTTGGGAAAGCTGGGTATTCACATGCACAGTGTGAACTTGTCTATGTTTGGGAGCCAGTAAAATGTAGGGAGGGATCATTCAAGAAACCTGATGCGGAACAGCTGGATTGCAAAATGAATGTTTTCGAAGCCAGCCACACCATTGTGAGTTTGTCAGAAGCATAGGGGGCTTTGCCTTTCTTAGAAGCTCTCCAAAGCAGGGGTTATCCAAAGGCTTTTCCCAAAGCCTGGGTGGGGGCAAAAAGGCTTGGGGTTGGAGGAGGGTGGGTCATTGTAACAGCAACCCCCAGAGCAGTCTGTGAGGGCTTTGTTGGCCTACAATAGGATCTCATGGTGTGTCACTGCAATGACTGCTTTAGAGCTTTTGGTTTTTCTTCTTGGGATGCAATTTCCACAAGCACCTCCAAAATGAATGTTCTGGTGCTTTCTGGGGGCCGGGTTGATGTTTGAAGTGTTTGCTAAATTCTTTTCGTGGCCAGTAGTTGGTTGAGATTTTCTAGTTCTTTTTGAACCAATCTCATTATTTATATTTTCATTTAAAATCATTCATTTCATCTAAATTTTCAAACTAATTAGCATTTTTATGCAAAGAACTTCTGAATGCATAATCATTATTCCTTTCTTATTCTTAAATTTGTGTATTTGTGTTACCTTTCAAAACCTTTCAATGCTAGTTCCTATTGTCTGCCAAAATTAATTTCTTTTTTGTTCCAACTTTTCTGCCTTTGTATATCCTTACAAAGCCTCCTTCTTATTTTCTTTACATTTGGTTGAGGCAAAAACAGCCCTCACTCAATTCTCACCATGTGATAAGCACTCTACCAGGAGCCATGGGGAGATACAGAGAGAGGGATAAACTTGGTTGTTACATTCAGGAAGCCTGTGCTCTACTGGGAAGGATGAGGTGAATACTCATGAGAATACAGGCAGGTCTTGAAACAAAGTGCTATACCCTAGAGGCCACTACCAGAGGAACACCCAAGGATGAGGCTTAGCTAAGCCCATTACCAAAACTAAAGTCAGGGCCAGGGCCAGGGCCAGCCTTCAACATGAGGATTTGGCAGAGATCTTCAGGGCCAAAGAGGTGCCAGGGGGTAAACAATTTAGAGACACATAACGTATCAGAGTTAAGGGTACCAGGTTTTCTTGAGCCAAGGTCCAAGACATCAGTTGGAGACTGAAGCAGGGTGCAGAGTCATGTGGCCTGTCATTGGATTCACTACCAGGACAATATGCAGGATGCTCATTGTACTAACAATGCCAGCCAGTGACTATGTCATTTGAGACTAAGAATTTGAGGGATACTAAGGATTTGATACTAAGAATACCCCATGGCACCTACAGATAACTCCTATCCCAGCATTCATGACACTACACTGAAATGCTACATCCTAGCATTCACAACACTATATTGAGTATCTTCACTCCATCAGATTGTGAGTCCATGAAGTCATGGACTGAGTCTTACACATCTCCATCTCCCCAGTGCCTGAACTATGCATGAGTGCTTTGTATTGCTGAATGGCCTAAAGCATGGGCTTTGGAGTCAGATCTGCCTTTGTTTGGCTTCATTACTTTCCACCTTAGTAACTTACTTATTGTCTCTGGGTCTCAGCTTCCTTGTCTGTGAAACAGTGATAATAATAATATAGACCTCTAGAGTTTGGTGTGGGAGCAAAATGAGATGAAAGATTTGGAAGTACTAAGCAGAGTGCCTGTCACAGAATAAACATTCAATTAGTGCTAGCTCTAATTGTTAATCCATGATTGCAGAATGAATGGGAAAGGGACAAGTGGGCTGAAGAGGGATGTTGGTCTATTTGATGAGGTCAGGACCCAGGGCAGGGAAGGGGCTTAATAGGAGCAACCCTGGCAGTCTTCCAAGTCTCTCTCCCTTATCTTGGCATCTCCTGGATGCTTGGGAGGCTGAGACAATAGGGATAATCTTTAAGCATCTCTCACTTTGTGTAAATCTTGCAATCATCTTGGCTGTGGCAGATGAGGATTGAATAGACCCTGGGTGGAGGATGATGTTGTTAATATAAACATTTTTTCAAATGTGAAATATTGCTCTCTGTACCCAGAAAGCTGTTATTAGTTTGCAAGCACTGTGCCTTTGGAAAGCCATGTCTGGCAGCTTGAATGGGTAGCTTAGAACAATTAGAAGCTTTGAACACTTTCAAGCTAAGGATTGGGATAAGAATGTTTTGACTCTATGGCTTCTCCTGGGATTTCCCTGGTGTGCTGGACTAATTATCAGATGTAATTAGGAGGCTGAGAAGTGGGAAGACTACAGGGAGCAACATACTTTCCCAGGGACCCTCATTTCTTTGTGCAGAAAACGGATTGAGAAGACTATCTGTTGTGGAGAAGCAGCAATGCATAGGGCACTAGAAGACAGGAAGGATCCTGGGAATGTGGCTTTACGAGAAGAGCCTCAAGCCTATGGGGACTCATTGCTCGTGATTAAGTTTTAAGTGGTCAGGACAGCCCCCCCCCCAGCCTCTGCCCAGCTTCCACCTTGTTCTTGAGGGAGGAATGGTATTCTGGGTCACTTCCCTGTTCTTAGTCCATTTTAGCAAAAGTCCAATTTTTGTGGATCCAAATAAGTAAGGAACCAGTGCTCTTCTTTCAAAACTCATGAAGATGAAGAGAGGAACATCCACATCTTGCGTAGCCACAGAGTCTATCTACTGTAGGCTCTAGATCTTTCTTATCTGCCTTGGCTTACACCATTGGTCCCAGATTTGGGCTAGGAGCACTCTGTCTTTGAGGCTCTGAGAAAAGGTAACATTTGCAGGGCCACCTGCTTGTGAACTTTTATTCAGAAGTGGAGACATTCCCTTTGGACATGGTCTTAAAGCTATTCTTCTTCTTCTTCTTCTTCTTCTTCTTCTTCTTCTTCTTCTTCTTCTTCTTCTTCTTCTTTTCTTCTTCTTCTTCTTCTTCTTCTTCTTCTTCTTCTTCCTCCTCCTCCTCCTCCTCCTCCTCCTCCTCCTCCTCCCCTCCTCCTCCTCCTCCTCCTCCTCTTCTTCTTCTTCTTCTTCTTCTTCTTCTTCTTCTTCTTCTTCTTCTTCTTCTTCTTCTTCTTCTTCTTCTTCCTCTAATGGAGAGAGTGTGAGTGGGGAGAGACAGAGGGAGAAGTTGAGAGAATATTAAGCAGGCTCCATGCCCAGCACGGGTCCTAAGACAGGGCTTAATCTCATGACCGTGAGATCATGACCTGAGCTGAAACCCAAAATCAGCTTATTAATTGACTGAGCCACCCAGGACCCATGGTCTTGAAGTTATTCTTAATGCAATGGAAACAAGACTACCACCCATGAAACATGGAAAGACAATGGCATCCAGTGTATCTTTACTCACAGGGGCTGTGAAGGCTGTGAAGGGGCTGGTAGTTTGCAAAGTAGAGATCCCTGGGGGCTAAAGGTGATGGCCCAAATGTAAAGCTTTTCCCCCTGTCAACATGATATGAAGTTTATGGTCACAAGATAATCACATGTCAATCCAATGTTTCTGCTTCCTCCGCAGGTAACCTGTCTCCATGATTTCTTTGGGGATGATGATGTGTTTATTGCCTGTGGTCCTGAAAAATTTCGCTATGCTCAGGATGACTTTTCTCTGGATGAAAATGGTAAGCGCCACCACTGGATTTTATTGTTCCTTTGTTCTCCCTCCTCCTATCCCTTAGGATTTCCATGGGGTCATATGGCCCAGAGAACATCCATGCATGGACCCTCAAGGGCAAATATTGTTAGTCTTCCTCCTGTATGTTTGGTTACATGAGTCACTAAGTGAAAGGTTGATTGAATGTTGCAGATTCCCAGCGTCCAAACTCAGTAAAACTTACTGTCTATCCCAAGAGTGACCATACTTCTTGAACCACATATTGTGTCACATGGGCTGATGGGTGCAATCAGACTATGGGAAGGAACATTTCTGGTCAGACTTGGATATTATACATATACTTTTTTTCTAGTCAACATCCTCCAGTGACTTGGCTCATGTTGATGATTCCATTTTAGAAAGATTTTCCACTGTGTTTTTAGTGTCAAATCTTTTCCCTCTTCCCACTTTCTGGCTTGCTGCCCCATTCCCCATGCTTTGTGACTCAAGATTCCAGAGGTTGTTAGTCTCAGGAAGGAGGTGAACATCTGCCCACCTCCCTTTGCTTGAGTCCAGGCTCCATGTGGAAGTTAATGGTGAATTAGCTCCTACAGCAACAAGGTTAGGATATGATCCAGATGAGAATGCATATTCAAAACATCTTTCCCAAATATAAGGGGCAACGTGTGAGGAAAGCAAACCAAGTTGTATTAATATAGACTTTACAAACCACTCAAGTGACAAGAACCCTGAAAGAGGTGGCATTTTTTTCCTGTGTTCACTTGGAGAAGAGACAAATGGCCATAAAATAGCTCAACAAATCCGAGGCTATTTCCAGTTTTCTATGCCTTCTACATCCCCAGCTCAGTGATCACTGCAGTTCATCAACCAAAACAAGATGTAAAACACACAAAGATGAGCTTTCTGCTTAACTCAATTTCCAAAATAACAAAACAAAACAAAACACCTTGGTTTACCAGAAAAGATCCCCTAATCTTTCTGGGTAATTGATATTTCAATATGTCTTTAAGTAGGAGGTGACAAGGAAGTGTCCAAAGACTGCCCACTCTACCTAGCATCATGGCACAGGGTTGGAAAACCTACAATGGAAAGTTTGGGACTTAGGAGACTTGGTTCCTGGTCCTTGTTCTGCTGTTCCCTTGCTCTGTGGCCCTAAGCAAGAGGCTTACTCTTTGTAGTCTCATCAGCAAAGCGAGTATGATAATTCTCCTAATGCATTAGCACAATCGGTGCCCCCAAATGACCACAATAGGGGTCCTGAGTGACCTGCATAGAAAAGGTGCCCCAAGCATAGCAGACTGAGGTTGAGGCAAGTAGCAGAAACATTTGGCAGACTCCCCTACATGCCCAAGAGCTTTCTATAAGCTCCGAGCAACAGAGTCACTGCTGGTTTATTTATTCATTAAACCAGCATACGAATTTGTGATAATGTGCATTGAAAGTCAAAAAGAGATCTCTATAAATTCATGGTGGTGGTGCTGGTAGTGGTGGGAGTGCCTATTTATAAAATGACATGACACCCCTAATATGTCCTACTACAATACGTGGCTTGTAATGAACAGTAAATGGTAGCTCCCTCTTCTTCCTTTAAATTACTCATGGATGTTTCATCTGTGTGGCTGCAGCCCCTGAACTGTCAATCTCTTCTCCAAGGAAATTAATTAATTATGTCAACAGGTGCTATTTGGAGACATGGCTGGGTCGTCCACAAATGGTCAAGTTGACTATTTAATAACCCACCCAACCTGCTTTTCAACTCCTTCTGTTGTTTCCATAATCCAGGGATTTAAACACCTGGCTTGGCCCAGATGACTTTTGTTAAGTTTCTCCCATGCCTCCCCACTCAGAGCCGTCATTCTTACAGACAACAAGGACCACCTTGTAGTCTTGAGCTGTTAGGTACTTTGGCCTGTGGTGGTTATCCCAGTTTCTAGAAGTTGGTAATATGCCAAGGCTCGTTTCTCCCCTGGCTTTACTAAGCTGTCTGTTCTTTTCTACCAGAATGCCGAGTCATGAAGGGAAACCCATCGGCCACCGCTGGCCCAAAGGCATCTCCAACTCCTCAGAAGAGTTCAGCTAAGAGTCCTGGCCCTATGCGCCGGAGCAAGTCTCCAGCTGACTCAGGTAACGACCAAGACGGTGAGTGCTCTTCTCCTAACTGTGCACGCTGACTTCATTTACAGAGGCCAATACCCTCTGCATGCTGGGGAATGAGTTCCTCATGAACACCACTGTATCTCCATGATATCAGTTCTATCAGTTTAGATACTAAACAAACTTGTTTGGAGTCATGGAGACACAGCTACGACCCTAAATCTACTCAGATGGATGCAGACCAGAAATCTGGCCTCTTTGCCATGCTTGCTGTAATGCTTATTGTCATGTTTGTTTTCATAGTCATCATCTTCAACATTATCCAGCAAAGGCATAGCCAAGGAAATAACCAAGTCAAACATAAATTTGAAGGAGAAAACCAGAATCTAAAACAAAAATGTAAAAAGAAAATTGCCACCCGAAAGTGTCAACATAGTTGATACACTTTAGATTCAAATTTGACTTTGAACCTTTTAGAAGTCAAGACAAAAAGAGAAATGAGATATTTGCATCATTCCCACAATGAGAACAAAATATATAGGCCAGGTTCTGAAAGGAAGCACAGAGATTTGTCGCACAGGATTTAATTTAATTAGTGGATAGTGAGTGATCAAAAAAAAAGTGACCTGTGGATCACTGCCAACCCATGAACTATTTATCAGTCTGTGATAAGATTAGAAGTTCGTGCCAAATGCAAATTATGCCACTAAGCAAACATTTACTTCAGCTGACTCTTTTTTCCTAGCACAAATTTTTTTGATAAGGCTAGCATTGTGTTCTTAAGCTGGCACAGGAGCTTGCACCCACAGTTTGAGTGACGGTGATCTGAAAGGCAAAAGGCCAGAGAAGTTCAAGTTTAGAAGCTCAGTAGAGCCAGGCACAGACAGTTTGAGTTCTTCATGGTAAGGAAATCATATGGTGCAGAAGAATTCCATTCGTCCCAAGGCTCAGGGCTCTCCATGAGAATTCTTCTAGCCTGGGAGTCTGGGAGCCTTGGAGCAGAGAACACAAATGCTCTTTATCTCTTCTTCAGTTTGAGACAGCTCAGGCAACAGATTGGCTTTGAAATGCCTGTGGCCTAGAAAAACAGCTTGTCCTGCTGGCCTCACACTGCCAGGAGCATGCACATCACCAGCCATATTTTTTTTTTTCTTGGGAAGAAGGAACTAAATGGTGAAGAAGCAGCTCGAGCTTTTCATACTTCCATGTCTTTGCACATCCCATTTCCCTACACCTGGAATGCCGTCCTTCCAGCCTACTCTTCTCTGCTTGAAAACTTCTATTCATCCTTCAGTACCTCAACTAGAAATAGTTCCATTCTCTGCAATATCATAGCATGTTCTTCATGTATCTGGGGTAATATTCACCACACTGTGTCAAAAAGTCTGTATTTACCTGTCTACTTCTCCCACTAAATACTGGGCCCCTCAAGGGCAAGGTGTCATGTTCATTTTGAATCCTCAGTGCTGAGCACAGTGCCTGGGTCCTAGTCAATACTCAAATAATGTTTGTGAGTGAACGAACATGTAAGAACACCTATTTCACCTAGCATGGTGCTAAAGACTTAGTTAGCACTTAGGGAATAGTTGCTAAAGGAACAAAAGTGCATGTGTCCGATGATATCTTGGTGAAGTGTACAAAACAGCACATACATCTATCCACGCCAATTTATTTTGTTCACTCTATGAATACCTAGATTGTAACACTTGGATGAAAAGCGAAATTACTTGTACAAATTCCAGGCAAGGCCTTGCAAAAAAAAAAAAAAAAAAAAAGGACTCTAAATACTTGATCAAGATTCATAAAGTCTGGCAGTAACTGCTTAGCCAGTCATATTTTCAGAAATGACCATTTCTGGAATTTCTAATCTATATTATTTATCTCTTGCAATGAAACAAATCACCCCCCAAACTTAGTGGCTTAAAAGAACAAACATTATTTTATTGTTTCTGTGGGTTAGGAATTTTGGATTGCTTAGCTCTCTGGTCGCAGGATCCCTCACATAGTTGAGGTCAAAGTGTTGGTTGGGACCACAGTCATCTAAAGGTTCAACTAGGACTGTAGAGTCCACTCCCAGGATGGCCCGATCTTCTCCCAGACAGTGACTCAGGAGAATGAACAAGAATTGTAGTGCCTTTCATGATCTAGTTTCCGAAGCCACATACTGTCACTTCTGTTTTAGTCTATTCATTAGAAGCAGTCACTAAGTCCAGCCCACATTCAAGGAAAGAGGAATCAGTCTTCACCTCTTGAAGAGAGGTGGACCTATTTTTACACCACCAAGAATTTGTGGACCTAGTTTTAACCACCACATAACCTATTAGTGAAATGCTGAGGTAGCAGCAGCTTGAAGTAAATAGATTCTCTGCAGACTGTATCCAGTTGGGTTATCCAACACATGTGAACACAACCACCTGTAATTAAACATGGCTTAAACATATGTCAAATTCTTGATCACCAGCATGCTACCTACAGAATTTCCCTTCAAGAAACCATGCACCTCACTGACTCTAAGATATTAGAGACAGAGAAGGAATACATGAGGACTCAATGAATATTTGTCAAATTAAAAGGAGCTATAATAGATCCCTATGAAGGCAAAGGCAGGTAAGATCTGCTTTTGCTCCTTCAGAACTCCCTTGCTAAAGACAAGGAATGAAGATTATATTCACACACACAAGGTAAAAAGAGTAACCAATTTGGGCCAGGGAATGGGGACTTTACTTGGCAGATACCGGAACTACAAACAGCCTCTACTCCCTACCAGCAAGAAAGCTAAAGTGGTATTCTCAGTAGAGAGAATTTAGGTCTTTATCTCAGATAGTTCATGAACATAAATGGAGCCAAACTGTAGTCTAGCTGGCTTAATGGCAATTTCCAGAACATTTGAGCTCATTGCAGATGATGTGTCTAGATCTTCCACATGATTTCAGCCCCAAAGTGTAAAAGGATCTATGTAATGTAACCTTGTCCATTCCATGGTAGTTTAGAACCATGCTCAGGGCATCCACTTAGTGAACATTCCACAGGGGCAAAGCTGATCTCAGGCAAAACAGTACTTTAGATAAGGTTTGGATTTGACATACATGTTTTCCTTTTCCCATTTCCATGTCACTTAGGACCATTTCAAGCTGGGAAGTGGAGGGGATAGGATATGTAAGAGGAGAGAGAGGCATCTGTGATATCACTTCCCGGCTTTTTTACTTGGAGCAAGTTTCTTACCTTGTCTAATACTTGGTTTCCATTTTGGTTAAGACAGAAGTTGCTTGTCTACAGGTAAAAATCATTTTCCAATATTATCAGTTATTTCCAATTTACAGAGCTGTGCGATAGCTTTCACAGAATTGGAATAGGATAACCAGAAGGATGAGCTATAGACAATGCATAATTTTGCATCAGCAAGTATAAGGTTTTTCAGAATGGGGCTGAAATTCTTTGTTCGTTTCTAGGACACAGCAGTGCCACCCTGTTTCCATCCCGCGTTAGTCTGTCTTGGATCTGGGACTTGGGGGATGGATTCACCTTTTTTTTTTTTCATTCAACCTGAGTAACTTGAGGTTGAGAAAGATAGGCCATTTCCAGGGAATTTTAACTACCTTCCTTTGAAGGCAAACGACAGCCAAAAATGTTCCTCTGCAGCAGGGACTCAAACCAAATGAAACATTGGCTCAGTTCAGGTCAGTTAAAGGAATGTTTTGATGTTCTAGTTCATTAGAAAATATATAGGTTTGATTCTGGTTTGAGCAAGTTTGCTAGGTTTTCAAAAATTTTTTAAAAAGAACAGAGCAATGGAGTTGGGAGAAAGTAAATATTTATTAAAATCTATGAAATAAAACAAATCTTTCAGAGGAGGGTAATAGTGAATGAATAAGAGAAATTAGTCAATTAGACATCCATATATATATATGTACATCTGATCCAATTCATGGTTCAGTTCATATCTGGGTTTGGTTTGCCTTGAGGTTTAGTAAATTGATGCGATCTGGTCTGTAATTTGCGTCATAATTTGATTCCTTAGTACTTAAGTTGTCTTTTTTTTTTTTTCTGTTCTTCCCATGAATAAATCCAAGCTGGTATACTTTATTCCCTTTGAGTTCAGTGCTCACTCCTGCCAATACTGAGAGTGCCCCAAATGGAATGTCTGTTGCTAAGCCCTAAATGTAAGTTAAGGGAGGATTCAGTTATCTGTATACTATTGCTAGAAGGAGCTCTCATTCTCTCTGGGCAGAGCTGCTGGACTCAAAGAATCCAAGTCCCATTAGCCATGTCTGCCTTTAAAGTAGGACAGGGAACTGTGGTAAGCAGATCAAATCTGAGGCCACAGGTCTCCTATAGGGCATTTGAAGAAAACTTGTCCAGTGCCCCCATTTTGATTAACCCAAGACTTGCCATTTTGATGGGCAAAAAAAGGTAAGCCTGGCCTCAGAGCTACAGGAATAACTTTCTAGCATGTTTCTTGCTGTTTCCATTTCAGCCATTAACGTGTTAACTTTTCCTTTACTGCAACTACCCCCAATTGAATTGAATTCAATTGAATTAAAAGGACAAAGTAGCTAGTTGCTGGGAAGGAATCTTTTCTCTTTCTTTCTTTCTTTCTTTCTTTCTTTCTTTCTTTCTTTCTTTCTTTCTTTCTTCTTCTTTCTCTTCTTTTTTTTTTCTGAAGGAGTGTCCAAGGATGCTAATTACCCACCCTGGTAGGCTGAGAGAATTGTAATGTGATAATTAGTTCGCTGTTGTTCAGTAAGTCATTGTTGTAGCAACTCACTATTCCCCACCCTCCTTCCCCCAACCTATGCTACCTAGTCCTGAAAGTCAAATCTTCCCTGTTCCCAAAGCCCGGAGGAAGAATGGATTCTCTACCAAAAAATACAGCCTTTGTACTGGGAGGTCAAGGGACACAACACAGCGGGGAAGGGGGTGTGTGTGTTCATGGGAGAATTGTATCCAGGAGTACTTCTCAACCCATCAGGCTGCTTTGGGTTGGCTAAGGAGAGACCTGGTTGTTCTGCCCTTCCTGAGTGTGACTCTCTGGACCAGCTCTGTCC